CACACCTCGCAGAGGCAGGCTCGTGCTCGTCCTCGAGGAGACCAGCCTGCGCGGACTCGTCCACCCTGCAGCCTGACAATTTCTGCCAGTTTCGCAGGAATTCCATGAACGAGTCTTGTCAACGTCTGCCGCGAAATGCGGCTCCAGCGATCCTCGATCCAGCGATCAGCCTCTTCAAGCGATGAGTCTTCAAGCGATGAGTCTTCGGCAGTGTCATCCGATTCTGATGAGGACCTTATCGATTGAGACACATGATCTGTTCTTCACGTTTCATCTCACATTGGTGGGAATTTGCACCGATCGTGTTGATTCGGAGTCATTGGAGTGTGAAACAAGACCGGAAACCTTTCCCATGTTAATCAGGACATTCGAAAACCTCTAAAGATCATCAATGAAAAGAAAAAAAATTTGAGTGGTCCACGACCTCCCTGACGTGTTCGACTCTCGGGGCGATAGCGGCTCAATGACGGTGGTTTAAAATTTTACATTTGGTAGGTACAATCTGTATGTTATGACAGATAATCGTGCAAAGTTTCAGTTTCGTTCGCTCAGTCGTTGAGAAATTTCAAGCGGCTAAAGTTGTTCACGAAGTTTTGAAACTCCCTTTAGAGGCCGGGGGGGGAGGTGCGACTCGGGGAGATATGTGTCGGCACGGACTGCCAGCGGGCAATTGACCTTCTAGCTGGACTTTCCAAGCGGAGGCTCTGTCGTGGAATTGTAGTGCAGTACATCCGGCAGCGCGCACTGGACCTGCGACTGAATGTGGAGTTGCAGTACGTTAGGTCAAAGTCCTGTGAAGGGAACCGCCGAGCGGACCAGCTAGCAAAACTGCTCTCGCTACACGGGGATGAGCCGCCGTTCATCGTACCCATAGATCGGGGGGTGGTCTCAGAGAGGGTGAGGAAATGCGTTGAGCAGCAGTCGGACATGCTATATGAAAGCGAGGTCAGGAAGCTAGGAAGATCTATCAGGGAGTTTGTGCCCACCGCATCAGCTCTGAAGATGCTTAGGGGGCTGGAAGGCTGCCGAAATCTCTGGGGACTTATTTCAGGACAGAGCCGGCTGAGATACTGCCGAAGCCGAGTTCATGGTGAAGGTGATGAATGTCCGAACTGTGACGCTCAAGTCACGGAGGATGTGAGAGATTTTCTGTACGAGTGCGAGCGATGGAAGAGCCAACGGGAGGCGCTAGTTCGAGAAGTGAACCTGCGAGGGCTAACGTGGCCTCCCCAGCGGGAGACTGTCATCAAAAGCCGGGATCTGGCGCTGGTACTCGAAGGGTTTCTGCGAATGACTGGAAGGGTCTTCAGAGACTAATGCCGTCTGCCCAATGGCGAGGATGAGCCATCTTGAATGACCGTATGGGAGAAATACGGGACGAAATGGAACTCAACGGAGCGGAGACTGACGAGCCGCAGAAAAACGGCTACAAAAGGGATCATGTTGGCGGCAAATGGCCAGAGAATGGCCGTGCCGCGTCCAAGATTGAGAAGAAGAAGAAGAAGAACTCCGGGGTATCACCGTTGTCAAATTGTATCCAGAGTCTGGATTCCAGACCCGGTCGTCGCCAATATCACAAGGATCGTAGGTGACGACACCAGACCGCCACTGATCAAAGTTTTGGTCATCCTGCACTCGTAGGCGGAGTCCTTCACGTGACACCACAGGAATACTGGGGTCAAGCCTTGGGAAAGGACGTGAGATGACCAAGTTGAAGCACTTCTCAACGGCGAACCGATCATCGGTCACCGATGAGGTTGACGTTGCCCCAATGGCCGGCTGAGAACTGGCATACGCATCTTGAGTCAAAATGCTTGACACCACGTGTCGAACAAGCCGAGAGACACCAGCAATGTAGAATGTCTTTACAGTGCTCAGGATTGAGCGCGATAGGTTGCCCAGCGTGAGGGATATACAGATCGGGTGGTACAGGATCCCGAAAGGAACGGTAACCCTGGAGAAGTTCATTTGTGCGTCCCTGAATGGCAAGTGCCCTGGCTGTCACTGACAACTTGTCAGTGACAACTTGTCACGGGAACGATTTTGTAGCCCACAGAGTTACCCATCCTGAGCTTTTGTATGCAGTACCATGACCTCGGACTGAACAAGGGCTACAGTGTAATTGCCGTAATGCCTCCTATGAGGAGAGGCTCTTCAGTACCTTGGAGAGAACCTACGTCACAAGTTCACCTATATGCTAACAGGTCGAATGTAACTTCGTGGCGGCTGCGAGAAGCAATGGTATTGATATTTCTCCGGTTGAGATGATAAGAGCGAGTATGACAGCGAGCGCAGTACAGCGTTATATTGAAGCTGAGATCATCTCTCACCACCAGCTGTGCAAAGCCCGTTTTCATCGCCAAGCACGTCAAGGCCTATCGTTCGGCAAGGGACCGGCATATGATTTCCCTGAGTGCCCGAGGATATTCATCCCAAAAGTTGCGACTTTGACCAAGTCGTTCCTCGAGGAATACGTCACTCAACGAGAGTTCCTACAGAGAGAGTTGTAGGCTGTCCTAGCTAGCTAGAGTATGTCGCTCGATTGTCAAAGAAAATGCGTCGAGCTAGCGAGTGCCTGGGTGTCAAACATGGAGTGCTATGTCGGAACTAGCAATGTCGTAGCTGATAGCGCTGGTGATATCCGGGAGGCTATGTGAGGGGTTCAACTCAACCCTCGCATAGGGGTTGAGTTCGACATCTCTCTGAAGACGATCCACGTGAGCTCGTCGATGATCTTCGTCCTTATCATTTGAACGCTAGATAGTATGATTGAAAGGTATGACGAAAACGGTACGATCATTATTCTCACATTCACCCCATGCTTCCCATGATATGAGGATCATCCTGGGTTAAGAACGAAATACATCCTCAAAGGATGTATTTTGTTCTAAACGCAGACTCAGCAACAAACCGCTCAACAGTAGAGGAAATTAGAAATTCGTCTCCTCAGTGAATCGATAATCTCTTCGAAAACGTGAACGTTAGTGGAGACTAGCGGAGACATCATGACACAATTTGCCATTGTGTCACTAGCCCATTTATGCCAGAGCACACAATGCGTTGCCAATTGGTTGGAGACCGGTATCCGGAGCCGCTCCCAGCAGTGATTGGCACAGTTGTTCCGTGGCGTTGAGTGAGAGAGCTCTCCTTCGTGTGGCACGCGAAGGATTTTGTCCCCTAGCGTTTCGCTAGGAACATGCCAACAGGAGAACAAATCTAACACTCATTCGACACTAATCAGCCGAGCTTTGCTGATGTCGTGTTTATGTACGGAAGCAAGAGCTGTAGGGGAAGATATTTCGGATAATCCCGATGTACCGGTATAATACCGATGTACCAGATATAGAGGGTATCCGATTTCATCGCCCTACCCTTGCATAAAGTACTACAGCATTTCCAGGTGAAATTTTTCTGACAAATTTAATGTTTTCTCCATTTGGTTGATGAATATCCCTTTTAGTTATGCATTCGTCGGTCCGACGACCTAATATAATATTATCGTGCCCATTCACTGACAACTCAGAATACAACAAGCTGATAGAAACTACCCCATGTGGACGTGAAAAACTACCGCACACGTGACTAAGGGAAATACAACTTCGCCGCTCCTCACAAATAAAAAAGGAATGAATCTGACAAAAGCCCATCTCTCTACAGCTCTACACGAATATCACCACATCACATACCACGATTCTTCTACTTCCCATAAGCTACCATCACTCTAGATTGTCGAGACACCAAAGTCTACTCGAGGAAATTCAAAGCGTGAATACGTAGCTCACTACAATGGCCAGACCAGATCAACCGCTATCTCGATATACCTCCCTTACATTAGAAAGATTCACCAGCCAACCCGAACCCCACCAATGCTTCACCGACAACCAGCGACGTGCCCTACCAGTCCATCTACGCTCCCTCCGTGGTCCTGATTCCCGCACTAGACGGACTCATCCTCCTCCCACTTGTCCCACGTAATGGACCTCTCTTGAATCTAACACGGAACAGCCTCACGTCCGCCTCCAAGCCAATCGCTACTACAGAACAAATATCACTAGGATCACCACGAAATCACCCAGGAACCTATAATTTCCTAGTGGGACCTGATTTTGAATATTCTACTTTCTTCTTCAATCAGTTTCCCATGTAAATTTCATCACACTAGGAGCAACATTTTCCCCACTGTTATCAAACCCGGTGTGACGTCATCTCTCTAAGCTAGATGGACCCGTGATATACACCAGCGAATTCCGATGAAAATCACCAAGCAAGACGCATCGAGCATACAATCGGTTCGAGATCCGGTGAGGATGATGAATCTCCATTCGATTACAACGTTGGGAAGCGAGGAGGGCCATCAGCCTCATCAGACTTCGACGCTCGAATCGGAGTTTTCAAAAGGAATTTGATATGAAAAACACTAGAAAAAACACATCTCACATTTCATTTCACGATAAAGGCATGTGAGTAGTGGATAACGCGTAAAACACGTGATAAATGCGCAACTCTTTGAGTCCGCACCTTTTCTTTCCGCATTTAGTTATCATTCCGCTAACGTGAAAAACCCAGGAAAGATTTTCCGTCAATTTTTGATTAATTTTCACAAACCCAGTATACCAAATCGAACCAACCTCATCCATCTCTCCCTCGCATCTTTGATCCATCCGATGCTCAACAGCTCCAATGACGAGCTCCTCTTGATTCTATTGGGGAGGAGTCGACGTTGATTCAAAGCGGTCAAGCTTTGCGTTCTGAGCAAGCCCATTACAGTGTTGGAGTTGGAATATATTTTCCCTTTCCTCGACTGAGCTCCGGAGTTTCCTCACGGATTTTACAAGTTTACATACGAACTCGAGTAGAAATGTATAGAACCCAGCGACAATTTCCCAAGATTTCCTCCTAGAATTTCCATATTGTCACTAAACATGTGCATATTTTTCCCCATACTGAGCTAATGAGCAAGCAAATACTCACAGAGGCTTCGGCAAAGGCTCTAGTCCTTTAACTATCTCCGGCGACGACAACATTGCCTCAAAATCATCCAATTGCCTCAGACCAAATCGTGCGGCGGTCATCTCCAACAACTTAAAACCAATCTGATACCAACCCAGGTTCAATTCCCAGCAGAGCCACTTTTCCCACCAAATTTGTATCCGGATCAAACTCCATAACTCTCGTCATGAACGTCACATCTTCGCTCATTGGTATCAGCAAAATAATAACATCCTCCTGAAAAGCACCCTCAGCCAACACGCCCAATGATCGCTAACTTACCAGATTCATCTGTGGCGTTCGCGAGTCGACCCCAACCTTATCAATTATACTCCTCAAGTGGACCACGGCGAACCCGTCCTGTTCATTTACAAACCTGAAACTCAGAAAACAGATTAAAAATCCCGAAATTGCATCACGCTAAAAAATATTTTACAGTTATATTTTATAATATTTTCTTCTCGGGCAAATCGACATAGTGCTGGATTATCACATATCAAAGTGAAACGGTCATAAGGTATTTACGGTCAGCAATTTCCTACTTTTCAGCGTCACAAGATGGTCCGTAAATTCAAATCAGAACTCTATACAAGTATTTTACGACCGCTTGTCTCTTACCATCTTTTCCTCACCACAACTTCCCTCCTTCTCATAGTCAACTTCATCTTCACCGACGCTCTCACTATTGAAGAAAACGGCGTTGTCTCCTGAACACAACCTACGCTCAGGGTGAGAGGGGAGATATGCACATGGTCAGCTACATGTGCCGCTGATCATATAAAAATTTGCAGTGAATTTCGGAAAATCTTTCTGGTTTGCGTCTACTTCTCCCCATAATTATTGGGGAAGCTCCTTAAACTCAGCTGATGAAATCGAGCATATATCATGTCTACTCCAACACTGCCCCCCTTCACCTCAACTGTCAACACCTCCGCTCTGGAGGGGAACGCGATTTCATCAATTGCTATGCATGTAGTGAGGAGGTCGGAATGTAACAGACATGACAGCCTCGTTTTCAAACTCCTCCCACGACATGGTTTAACCCTACACAAAAAATATGCATATCATCAACTACATGTGTTGGTGCACAATGTTGGAGTATATGTTCACTTTCCTCAGCTGAGCTCAAGAATTTCCTCACTGGTCGTAAAAGTCGGGGTAGAAGTGAACACAGGCCAACAAAAATCTCCCCAAATTTCCTCCGAATTTTCATTTTCCCCCCACATTATCGGTGAGCGTGTGAAAATTCTCAAGGAAATTTTGGGGAAATTCTGTTGCAAAGCGAGAAAACTATATCTTCCTCCAACACTCTATTGGAAACTCCTCAACTCACTTCCAGACATAATCGATTATCCGGGCGCGCGCTACTTGCAACATGCCTATTCCCATCCCACTCACCAAACATTCGCCTTCCCTTCCTCCCTCCTCCCCCTCAATTCATACCCTCTATCATCACTCAATTTCAACAGTAAATTATCCACCTCATCCGTAGCAGCCCCAAGCCGATCAAACACTGCATGTTTGCAAATCTGTCATCGTCAATTACCCTCACACGCCACGAAATTCCCCCAACAAAATTACTCTCTCACTCGAAGAAGCCAACAGTCTCCTTCCCAATTCCTCTGCAACAAATACCTAAATCTTGCCAAATCTTACCAAATCTTGCATTTCCTCAACGCCAGCCCACCTCTCCGCTGTCCAGCAACCGATTAATGTTGGACATGACCTTACTTACATGGGCCTCTCTATCCAGCGGTGACGATGAAATATTACACTCACGACCTTATCAAAAAGGCAATGTGTGAAGTAATATTGGAGTTTCACCCGTTAAACGTGAAGTGGCGTAAAACCCCGTGAAAAACGCGATATTTGCGCCTTGCAATAGTCGTGAAATACGTCTTTCACTAATGTGTTTCATATCACTAGGGTGAAACTCAATTATAATACATAAATAATACTAGTAGTATTATAATGGAGTTTTACGTGAAGTGGCGTCGGAAAACTCGGTGAAAAACGCGATATTCGCGGTGATATGCAGTAGTCGTGAAATATAGTTTTTCATATCACTAGGGTGAAACTCCAATGCACAAATTCATAGTACTACGCATGCTCACCACAACTCACATTTCACTGCGCGTAGTAGTCTACTTCATATAGGAGTATATTAATACTTTTGGAGTTACATTGGAGTTTCACACATAATATACTAAAAAACACCAATGAAAAACTCATTTAACAATTCACTTCGCGGCAAACTGTCGGTTGAAGGAACACATCAGCCCCGAAAAGTGTACAAAAACCATCAAAAAATTCCCCAAATTTTCACGTCGTCACATTAATATGTATATTTTCCAACTCACCAACAGGCGTCGTCTCTCTCGCCGAAACTGCTCGTCGCGACGGAGGTGCTAGTGGTGGCACTGATGCAAAAAGAATATGCAAACCGTGTCGTCTCAACTTACCCAATTCTCCGAGCTGATGCTGTTGAGAAGTAGTTTTTTCTGATGCTGCTCGTCTCAAGAAGGGACCAGATGCATCTAATATTAGAGTTTCACCCTAGTGATATGCGAAAAAAACATATTTAACATTTCACTTCGCGAAAAACGCATGAAGCGAATAATCCGTAAAAACGTTACGCGAAATCGCGTGATTTCTCCGATGCAATTCACCAAGTGTTGTCACTTCATATCACATTTTTCACTATCACGCCACTTCGCGTAAAACAAGTAAAACTTCCCATTTCACCTGGCACGCTTTCGATACGAATCTCCTTATCATTTTCATACACCCTTAATCTCATCCGTCTCGGCGCACTACACGCCTCCTCTTCCTCCTCGCTGTCCAAACTGATACCACACCTTTCCCACATCTTACCACATCAACACACTCACCCTGTGTTCATCTTACTACTGCTGATACTGCCAACTGCTGTACTTGAATCCTCTCCATGGATCTAACAGGAGCATCTCAAAGTTGAATTAACTCTTACACATACGGCATTGCTACACAGAGTATGTCTATCTCACGACAAGCAGGTCTAGATTCAGAACTATTCACCACATATTACAACAACACCTAGTGGGGGGGGGGATATGCACATGGTCACTAGGGCACATTTACGGGAATTTCTGAGGAAGATTCTCATTGGTTTCTGTACACTTCTACCCGAGTTTGTATGTAACTTCTTAGACTCAGGTGAGGAAAGCAAACATATATTCCTACTCCAACACCACTGACAACAGCAACGACCCCTACTTCCAATGCCTCATCTACATCAACACAGTCTTCTGTCTCCATCGCCGAGACTTCACACCTATCATTGGAGTTTCCCCACCCTAGTGATAGGAAAAATATATTTCACGACTACTGCATATCACCGCGAAAGTCGGGTTTTTCCCCCGAAGTTTTTAGGCCGCCCCTTTTCCCTTAAAAAACGGTGTCGTGAACTCCATTGTATTAAAAACATCGCACACATACAGCCAAGTCGACTCGTTTCATGTTAGACCACAATGAAATTTCACCCTAGTGAGAAAAATACATATTTCACAACTACTGCATATCACCGCGAATATCACGTTTTTCACCGAGTATTATTACGCCACTTCACGTAAAACGGGTAGTCGTGAAACTCCAATGAATATTCCCTCTAGAACCCACTACCACAAGAATACATCGGTTTTACGTATATATTTCGCACAAGATATTATTTATAAAAATAACAATTACAGTCAACCACTACGAAGTGAACGATGGATGGTATTAAAATACGGCTTACTGGGGGCGTGGAGTCGTCGGCTCCAGGCTGGTGGGGGAGGGAGACCTTCTCCAATGCAGATCGATACACACATAATGAGGAAGAATCCACAACTATATAAATCACTGTTGGAGTTGGAATATATGTAATCGCTTTCCTCAGCTGCTGAGCTCAGAAGAGTTTCCTATACAGTGTTGGAGTAGGAATATATGTAATCGCTTTCCTCAGCTGCTGAGCTCAGAAGAGTTTCCTATACAGTGTTGGAGTAGGAATATATGTAATCGCTCTCCTCAGCTGCTGAGCTCAGAAGAGTTTCCTATACAGTGTTGGAGTAGGAATATATGTAATCGCTTTCCTCAGCTGCTGAGCTCAGAAGAGTTTCCTATACAGTGTTGGAGTAGGAATATATGTAATCGCTTTCCTCAGCTGCTGAGCTCAGAAAAGTTTCCTATACAGTGTTGGAGTAGGAATATATGTAATCGCTTTCCTCAGCTGAGCTCAGGAGTTTCCTATACAGTGTTGGAGTAGGAATATATGTAATCGCTTTCCTCAGCTGAGCTCAGAAGAGTTTCCTCACTAATAAAAGCACTTTTTATACGAATTTGCACAGAAACTAACGAGAATTTCCCAAAATTTTATCAAAATCCTCATATTGTCGGCGACACATATAATCCACCCACTACCAAGAATCGAACCCACAACCTACCGATGCCACGATTGACCACTTAACCACTACACCAAATCACCATAGGAAGAAACGAATATTCCGTAGTCCACCCAGTAACAGTTGCCAATGACCATTCTATCAATACTCAGACGACACAGTACGAGGGCTTGCTATTGTCGACACTGTTTTCGATGGCGAAAACGAACGACGCGAAACATAAGAAGATACACTTGCTTGGTAATCCAACTCCCTGACAATAACAACATCATCACAACCAGGCACCCATCCAGCTTTGAGAAATAACATTCCTCACGATTTGATAACAATGGGGAAAATAATGTTCCTAATGTCATGACATTCACGTGGGAAACTGATTGTTGAAGAACGTGGAAAATTCAAAATGAGTTCCCCCCCCCCTCCGCAAACACTATGGGGTCCTGAGAGGTGATGATGCCTACAAAAGGGGGCGTATTTCAGGTTCTCTGTCAAGTCACGAACATGACTTGCAGGTTGCGACTATTGAAGTGGAAGTAAAAAATGAAAAAAAAATCACTTCGCTCCGCTACACCCAGACTGTTGTAAACCTACCAGCGGTAAGTGGATGTTGCCTTAACCTTGTAATCCGCATCGAACACTCCGTGCTCGTATCTACCAAGGACAACCTCAAGCTCGAAACTCTTCAAATGTGAATTCAATGCAGAAAGCATACGTATGTTTTCGAACTGTGTGAATCCAATACAGTGCGATTACTCAACTACATATGTTGATGACCATGTGAAAATATCGAGATTACTCTAAACTACTACTCGAATACATATTAAAACTACTACAAATCTGAGCTCAGCAGCTGAGGAAAGCAAACATACGTTTCTACTCCAACACTAACAGCACGTAACCAACTAAGCAAGCACAGGTGATGCGATTCAACTTTTGAATTTTCTTCACTACCCCAGATAACACCAAAGAGCCTCCATGTTCAACATCCTATCATCGCTACTGCTCTTATAACTCTCCGGGAACCAAGACAGTCACACTCAGCGATTGATCGATTTTCAACAACCACTCTCGATGAAAAAAAATATACAAAATTTCCCCACATGTCTATATCGCCCTGAGTACGGTAAAATTCCCAAGTTGTCCTTGCCCCTGAGCTCCTTGATGATACCGTTATCGGCTACATGAGTGAGAGAGAACCTTCCAGGCTTGAACACAGCAACTGCTCGACGAATCGTTTCTACTAGTTTCTCACTACAACCTGCCAGCAACAACATATACAACTATGGAGTTTCACCCTAGTGATATGAAAAATACATATTTCACATTTCACTTCGAGAAAAAACGCGTATATGCAGTGAATAACGCGTAAAACACGTGATGTGTGATTCCCCAAGTGTTTTCAATTCACTTCATACACCACTTCACGAAAAACGGTGGATACCACACCATTATTACATCGCACATTAGTCTCGAAGCTAGCATAGGAACAGGACTCCTCGGGCGTAACGTGTATCGTAAAGAAGGACTCGCCGTCGTCTAGGGAGGCGTTGCACGAATAACCGCTGAGGAAAATACACAAAACCAATTCGACAACATAACCACTTTTCTACACACAAGTATAGAAATCATACAAGAACACTAAACATATCCAAGGTTACTCTATACAAGATACGAATCAGGTCCAAAACATGACTATTATTCTCCACTTAGGGTATACGCGAAGACTTCAAATTGACCTCCTCTAAGAGTAGGGCTTGCGTCGTATAGACCATAGCGGCTAAGTCGACATATCCAAGGTTACTCCGGGAAAGATACAAATCATGTCCAAAATATGACTACTATTCTCCACTGACGAATTTCTTAAAAACTACACATAGCAAGCTCAACAAAGTGAAAATATCCAAGGTTACTCCACTAAAGATACGAATGATGTCCAATTTATGACCATCCCAGCTCACCACGGAGTAAAGTTGATCGCATCTACCACAGCTCCCGGGTAGATATCACAAATGCCCGACTCCTCCGACATACCATCAGCAACAGTACCGGACGCACTCGAGCTGAAGAACTTCGACCGTACCTACTATAACCATGTGATAATAAAAATCGAAAAATGCCGCGACCGAGAATCGAACCGGGGACCTCGAGATAGTAAGTCAAAACGATAAACTAACCAGCCAATCCACCCTCGTGCTACGTCGTCTGGCAAATCATACATCATGATATCCAAGTTGTGGTCGTATCTACATATCACAAAAAATACAAACATGCATCGCTTCGCTCCGCCTACCTATAATTCGAATCAACTTCCTTGAAATCCGCATTCCACATAATCCAATGGTCGCCATTCAACGGCCCCAACACATATGCATTTCCAGTCGAACATCCAAAGTCTTTACACACCTCACGTAATACCGATACCTGCTGCGTTGAGGAAATGCAAGATTGTGCAAGATTTCAAGATAGCCACCACCACCTCATCTTCCAACGAGCCGTGAACCCCCCGCTGGAACTCCGGGAAAAGGAAGCTCTTCCTGGAGTAAAATAACCATTCGAGTTCGAGGCCTAGCTCGTTTACTGCATGGTCTGAGAGAATGAGAACAGCAGTGTGGGGGAAAAACTGGGTAATTTATTCCGAGCGAAAAATTCACGGTTGATCGATTATGATAATCAGTGTGGGAAAATATGCACAACTACATGTGTTGGTGACAATATGGACACTATGAAAGCTTTTCCTTGGTTTCTGTACACTTCTACCCGAATTCATATTTAAACTTCCATAATTAGTGGAGAAACTTCTAAGCTCAGCTGAGGAAAGAGGAACATATATTCCTACTCCAACACTGTATAGGAAACTCCTGAGCTCAGCAGCTGAGGAAAGCGGTTACATATATTCCTACTCCAATACTGTACAGGAAACTCCTGAGCTCAGGTGCTGAGGAAAGCGATTACATATATTCCTGCTCCAACACTGGATCGCGGGTTCGATCCCTGCACACTACATAATAACATCACCATGCAGACCTTATAAAACAATACCACATTTCCGTGAAATACCAACATCAACCCCTAAAGTGCGGAGAATTGAAACCTCCCGTCAGTCTAGGAAGAGAAAAACAGTCTGGAAATATATATGTTTGCTTTCCTAAACTGAGCTTAAAAGTTTCCTCACTAATTATAGAACTTCATATACAAATCCGAGTAAAAAGTAGTTGAGTATTTCCCAAAATTCCCCCAAAAATTTCCATTTTGGCACCAACACATGTGGTTGACAATATGCACATGT